AGCCATTTTCTCTCTAATTTTCACTGTATTTTCTATTTTTTTCAAGGTAAGTTGTGTTATTGCCTTTATGAAGTATATTAGGACGTGGATCTTTTTTGTTTTTGTAATGAAGTGTTTTTGCGATTTTTTGCGCATCTATTGATTGTTTAATTGTTCGCAAAAAGTTACGGTTAGAGAAATCTCAATCATAATTTACCTTGTGAAGACAAGGAACAACTAACCTCAAAAAAGCAGCCAAAAACAGTGAAAAGTAGGGAGAAAATGACTAAACCAGGCCGGAAACAGCTGATCGCCGCCAACAGTTCCTGCGTACGCGGTCGCTGCTGCAGCCGCGTCTGCGACCCTTCGACCGCCTAATCAACTGCCCGGATGACGACTGTACTCAGATGGATATTCAATCCAAGGTTCGATAGTTTGTGATACTAGCTTTATTCTTTCACTACGCCCAAGATTGCTGAGCTGCGATTTCATTTGTTTAGTTGGATTTCCGAAACGGAAACCTTTCATCGAGCTCCATGCTGGCCAGACTTTCACAATAGCCCAGAGTAACCTTGGACGAGTGGCCAGTCCTGATCCGACATATTGTAATTCTTTCAATAACCGTACACTATTTTCCAGACCATGGAACTTGCGTACGTGATCATGGAGTGTTTACCCGGGAATCCTGTTCCAATCATTGGAAACCTTCAGGGAGAAGAGCAGACACTGAAGATCATCGAGTATGGCTTGCAACTGCTGAAGGTTCGTGTTCCGTTTGCGAGGCACTGATGCCCTATTTAAAGACAGTTGGCACGATAAATCCAGTAGGATAAATACGCTTGGCAGGGCGGGATTCCGCGCCCTAGAGCAGACGCTGCGTAGCGCCTTTCCCAAGGAAGGTACCCTTATAAGGCCCTATCAAGCTGCAACATACCGACCGGACGCCCACTGCGCCCGCCGCCCACAAATGGACGACCGTACCTGATGCTCGTATTGCTTCATTTGCTAAGTAAAATATGAAGCGAAGGGATCGATATGAAGCGCCGCACTGCTGCATGGATATATGAGTACATACGTGCAGCCGTATCCTACCGTAGCGGTTATTGGCAAGATGCCTACGGGAAACTCGTCCAAAATTGCTTTTTGAGTCATTAACGAAGGCTTTTCTTCGCAGGTTTTTGACCGTTTCACTTCGTTTTTTCGCCATTTTCCCCACTATATAGCACCCTGCTAGCATTTTAGACCGAGTACCAAATGTCCCATATGCCTTTAAGTACTGGCTTTCAAGGCGGAGGTGGTGTAGTGACAAGTGGCACGCTTACCAGGTGCCCGGTTCCTAGGGGTAAATCTTGGCTTGGCTGTCGCCATGGCCAGTAAGCGTTGTACCCTCTGGGAAACGGTAAATTGATAATTTGTGTGGCAGGATAAGCAGTAATTTGTACTTCGGCTGCCCCCCCCCCTCCCAAACAAACCATTGCTGAAGCCATGTGGCATTCCAAGCCATTACGATCCCATATGGGAGTAGAATGCGTGGCGCCTCACGAAAAGGATTGATTAGCGCCAAATCTTTCATCATTTTGTTCGTAGTTTCTATAATTTCAGGCGATATACGATATGCATCAATGTGGTTTCATTCATCGTGATATCAAACCCGAGAACATTGGAATGTACGATGTAAGAACTTTCACTAAAGACCTAACATTAGGGGTTATGGGAATCCGAAA